TCCTGGTGATTATACGTTATGTATGGCGTTCAACGGTAGAGTGGAGCACTACAGGTATTACCAGTCACCGGTTTCTCTCTCTGGTGGCATATTGTGTTGATAAATGGTACCCCTCTTAGACTTAAAGTTGATCAGTCGTGTGGGATATGCATTCCTTTTCCATGATTGGTTCATTTATCTCTGTGATAAATTGGTTTGTTGCATGTTTGGAAGTCAAAACTGCAATCAGCTGGCTCCTGGGCAACCCTCAGTCAGAAAAGCGAGCCGTTGAAAGCCTTGCCAGTGTGTGTGTGTGATTATACTTTTGTGCATCTTCATCTTTCATATTTAATTACCCTTGGATCAGCTGTAATTCATGGTCTAATTCTCGGACTGCGAGTTTTCAATGCTGCGTCACCTGTTGGTTAACCTTTTGGCGGGCCTGATTTTCCCTCCATAGAGGTTGAATTGTGGGATATATGAGGTTGGCTCTCAGCAGTCCTTGCGGAACAAACAGGCGAAGTTTGGAAAATTTCGCATTATTTTTTGATTCAACACCATGAATTATCATGTTATTGTGTCATGTGCCGAGCAATAAAAACCCTCTTTGCGGCGCTAATTGTGATAATTTTACAGGATTTACCAACTTAACGGTATATTAACATGCGACCATGAAGAAAATTTCGATAATTTAACACAACTAATAGCGGTAAACGCAAATTTTTTCCATCATATATTTCTGAATATTATTTCATTTCACTCGATGATCTTAAAAGCACTTAGTTCATTTCGGACGCAAAACAAATATTTTAAGACTACTCAGGAAATAATACTCGCTCGTAGTATTTCAGTAAATTGTAATTCTTTGACCATCCTCTGATAGTCATCCTGCTATCGATTTTGGCGTTCGTTATGCCTACTGGATGAATTGAGCAGTTGCTCTACGCCTCTAGAAACAAGCAGTCCTTTTCTACGACTTGCTCATTCGTTTCGATGTTGGAACTAACTCACGTCAGAAAGACAGACCCGCCATCAGCTTACTCCAAAAAAAATCGTTGGAAGATAGACCCATGGACAACAAATAGCCTTGCCAGGTTGATACTGATGCGTGCTGTAATTCGGGCTACTTTCGAATGCCTCCACCCTCCCAAAAGGAATGAATGCGGAGGGTTTTCTTGCCTGTTTTTGACTATAAAATTGGTTCTTTTGTCAAATTTGCTTATTTTTTCAGCACTACAAACGTGACGCGGATGGTCTGTGTCATCGCCTTGTGACTCCAATAATTAATGATAAATATCGCATTGCGCGGGATTCGGAATCTCTCGATGACCGTATACGGCTCTTTCAGCAAGCATCGTTGGTGATTCGTCGTGGCGATTTGCGTCTCGGCGACACAATTGGCCATGGAGAATTTGGAGGTCTTGTTCATCGATTTTTGCATTGAAAAAAGATTCGTCAAAAAAGACTATATTAAAATTTTTAGAAATACTATTTTTGAATGTAGATATGTGTGTATGCATTTAGGGGGTGTGTGTGTATGTGTGTGCTATTGTATGTATCTGCGGAGGCGTACGTTTGTGGTTTACGTGATAATATTTTTCTCATTTTCCTGAAATTGATGAGTTTCGGTCAAGGGGACCAAAATTGCATGTTACATATCCACCCAAGAAAACAACTGCTTTTTAGTTTATTATCAAAAACTTGGTTTTTAATTAATTCCTTGTTACAGTTGTACACATTTTTGCACCGGGGGAAAACTCTCTATACCTCATCAGGTTAGGTTTCAAAATCCAAATAACTTACAGTTTTGAATGTTTCAGATGTTCTTCTGGGGGATTACAATGGTTGCCGAGTTGCAGTGAAAGTGCTGAAGCGTAATGCCATGGTGCAGTCGTTGTTGGATGAAGCAAAATTTATGATGTGAGTACTGAATAGCTGACCATGTGTAATTTTAAGCTTTTAATTGCATTTATTTTGTTACAAAAACATTTATGGGCGCAGTAAATAAAAAAAAAATCAATATAATCGGCAGACTGACCATTGACTATGCATCATTGATCAAAGTAACTGGAAAATTTGTCAATTCCAGTTTTGCAACGTTAAATATCTACTGATATGGTAGCAGTGAGCAGGAAGTTAACAGATTAGAAAAAACATTTCCAATGTTTTTTGTAAAGCAACAGCTTTGAAATACGGTCGCTTTTTGTTGAATTTTTTAATGTACTTTTGAATACAGAGAGAAAATATTTTTTTTTTTTTCAGAGGTCTGAAACATACAAATTTGGTTGCTTTGCTGGGTGTAGTGATCGATGATGCCCGGGAAATTCTAATGGTTACTGAATATATGGCAAATGGGAATCTCGTGTGTTTTTATTTATTTTGCAATCAGACCTCAATTTGTTCACTAGTTTGTAGTGCAACTTCTTGATGCTCTGAAATTGAGGAGTAGCGGGAGAGGGTGAGGAGAATGGAGATGTGGCCAAGAAGTACAGCAGCTTCTGGATAGAATCCCTGACATAGCTGCACCTCGACCTCTTAAGTCCATCTTTTTAGCTTTGGAGGACTATGCTGTGCAGTTCAAGCGTTCTTTGTAATTCATTTGAAGAAAGGAACCCAGGCTGCGACTCACTTGATTTACGGTGCATTGGAAATTGAAGCAGTCAGATTGTGAACAGCATGGAAGGCTCTTTCTTACACATGTTGGCTGTGTTTTAGCCTTTTCTTGCATACAGGGGAAAAAAAAAGTTGGGTAAGGGAGTAACAAAAATAATAACAATAATAATAACTGTGACAACAACAATAACAATAACAACAATAACAATGATAATAATAATCGATTGCCTAGTGGACGTGCAAAGCTTTCCTGGGTAGTTGCAACGAGCGGAGCCCTTTTGCAAGGAACGTAGATCGAAAGGAAATCGAATTCTTCTTGTTTATTATATCTTAATTCTTCAAGTCGTTACGCGCTAATCACTAAACCTTTGGAGCTTTTGCAACAGAATGTAGACCTGCATAAATATAATATCTGTTCCTACTATCATAAGCAGCACATTCTCCAATTTTTGACAGCTTTTCGCGGACTTTCGAGTGAGTTGTTGGTTATAGATCAAAATTTGAGAGAACGTTGTGGAAAGACTCAATGGAATTTTCCCTTCAACTATTCGTTTTGCTTTATACAGCATCGCAAGAACATGGATTCTCTCACTGGAAGGATCTTACAGGTCGATTTTTTACGTTCACGTGGACGTCACCAACTGGAAAAGGTGCAGCTAACACAGTTTGCAG